CCTCCTGGGTTCGTTTCACTGTCGCTACAGCCTGATTGTGATTTCCATGAATGGCACAATTATTGCAAGTGCACTGCACCTGCGGTTGCTGGTTGACAGCGTTGTATGAGTAGGTTTGTCTTGTGACTGCCTGTTGCGGGTACAAGTTTTGATTTGTCTGGATCTGCCCCGATGTACGCGTTACGGTCTGAGTGACCTGTTTCTGCTGGTATTGGGGTTCAACCTGCTGTTGAACATAACTCTGCTCACTTGTCGTCGTTTGTCTTCCTGTAGTCTGGCTAACATTGCGCAGGTTCACCTGTTCTGTTACTGATTGACTATATCGACCAGAAGACTCTCGTCGGGGCTGAGATACATGCCGAAGGGCTACGTCTGCGTAGGGGTTGTAGATCTCCTTTTCAGCAGACTGATCAAGATCCACTTCTTCAATATATTGACCGTACTGATTGATGTTCTCTCCACCAACAACAGATGGAGGATTTACTTTTTCAAATTGGTTGTATTGGCTGTATTGATTAGTCGCTTCTCGCCGGGCAGGAGGATAGACAGAGCGTAGTTTTTCTTGCTGCATTGTTTCATTGTATACATTGTGAATTCCCTTTTGTGCAGGACGTAGATTCACCTGTTCTATCGATTGATTATATTGATTCATTGTCTCACGCCTAGCAGTTGGGTAGACCTTCGTCTGTTGCACTGTCTCATTATACTGATTAGAACTCTGTATTCCAGACTGATTAACGGTGCGGAGGTTCACTAGCTCACCAGAGTAGTGGTGAGAAGTGTTCTTCGCAGAGGTTTGGTTGACATGGCGAAGATTCACGACATCAGGTTGTAAGTCACCGTGGCGGCGAGCATCGCGCGTGGTTACAATGGTGGAATTTTGATAGTGACTGCTCTTCACTTGTGATTTCTGAATCTCAATTGGTTGACGGTAGTAAAGCTCATGGAATGTGTGACGCTTCTGCTCGCTGAGTTCGGCTTGACGCTCGTCAAGTTCAGCTTGGTAGTCATTTTCATTCTTGGCTTCAGCCTGAAGAAAAACTAACAAACTTGTTGAAAAATGAAAGTACAGGTAAAACTTACAGTTTCATTCAAACTTTCAAAAATGTCGATTTCTTTGGTTGTGGGTTTCTTGTGCTCGTTGTTCTCTCCCGTTTCAATTCTGTCACGTAGCATCCTGACTGCTAAAAAAGCGAAAGATTTTTCCAACAAGTCCTCTTATCACCAAAAATTTTCCGCAAAAAAAAAGTGAACAAATCTTCGCCCATACGCCTCTGCCCAGTTTGAAAAGTTAATAAGTAAAATGCACTAACCTTTGATAGATAAAAACTCTGTATAAATTGTGCAAGGCCTACCTCCAGTACTCGGTGGAAGATCCATGTTTGGACGGGTCGATTGACGGACCAGCGTTGAGGCCGGTGAGGAGTGCATACTAGTACGGATCTCAACCTCTTCTTGACTCTCTGATCTACGATGACGGTGATCTTTGCGTGTATGGTGAGTTTGTGAATGCTTCTTAGCTTCAGAATCTGATGCCTGGATGATCTGCCCTTCGGCATTGTCCTAAGAAAGTTATGAGAATATTGAAATGTTGAAATTTTTTAAAATCTAAAAGTTCTTACCTTATCGCTCCTCGATTTGAACTTGTACTCGGTATACCTGTAGACCCCCTTGTCGAGCATCACTGGTCGAGGATTGTCACGAACTTTTGGTCTGACCAAATGAGGCACGAGCTCTTTTTCTTCAACACTCGCCTTGCTAAGAGAATCCGTAGACTCCATCACCTCTGAATAGGCTTGATATCCCTTAGAACTGCCCAGCTGTTCCTGCGCTTGGGATGCGCGGAGTTGTGGAGACGGCTCGCTTGTGGCAGAGTTCTGCGTTGAGGTGCGAGTTTCCCTTCGGCTGACTTCTTTAGATCCACTAGTTTCAGTTCGAGTAGTTGTGGTAGTGGTGGTGACCTAAAAGTGATTATCTCATCAGATACGCAGGAAAAAGGTGGAAAGGTTAAAGCCTCGCTTTCTCCTCTCCGAAAACTGCACTCATTATTGGATCAGTTGAGATCTGCTCTATTTGTTCGTCTGGTTCCGATCCATATTCGACTTTATCATATGATTGGTCGAAATTCTCAACTGGCTCCGATGCATACTCCACCCTATCAAATGCGAATGGTTCGTCATCACACTGCAAAAATAAATTTAGGAAAGATGTATTAATTGCTAAGAAAGAGTCGAAGGGGTATCGAGACAGTCCAACTAAACGTCTAACACTATA